GGGGGCTGCGGCCGGTGCTCACCGCGACCCTGCCGTGCTGCCCCACCGGCACTGAGATGCTGCGATGCCTCGGAGCTTGCCCCTCCGTGCCTGGCAGGGCTCTTTTGCCTGCGGGTGCTGCCAGACATCCACCCTCCTCCTCCTCCTCCTCCTCTTCCTCCTCCTCCGCCTCCTCCACCTTCCCCCAGCTCCTCCTGCCTCGTCTGCTTGTCCTGCGCCAGGCGCCAGACGTTTGTCCTTGCCTTTTCTGCGTCTTCTCCGTCTCCGCCATGCCTCTTTGCATGCGGCAGTCACGCTGCACCGGGGGATTATTCGGCAGCAGAGTTATTACCGTCTCTTTTGTTCTCTTTGCCTCCAAATTCCCAGCGTTTGATGGCTGCTTTTGCGGTCTTCTCGACAACTGCGCTGAGCACTTAGCTGATGTTTTCTTGCGACTCTTTACTACCCAGGTCCCTTACAGGTGTGGTAGCAGCTAATTCAGACCCCGCTGCTGCAGTTGAGAGTTGGGTTTTTTTTTTTTCCCCCTCTTTGTCATTTAGCCCTGCTCCGTTTCCTCCGCTGTTTTATTACCTTGCTGCTCCGTGGCAGGAGGTCCCTCTGGATTCTTCGCGCTTGCATTCGCTATCCGGAACAGCTAAATCTCCCCGGACGCACTTTGTCATCTCAGGTTTGCCTTGTGGTGAAGCCCCTTTTGTGCGTGCTGAGCGGCAGAGCCCCCGTGTAAATCCCCCGTGGGCTCTGCTGCCAGTCTCGCTTGTGAAAGCCAAATATCACTGCTTCTCTTTTAACCTGTTATTAATATTTTAAGGACCTTGCTCTCATGCTGTGGTGGATTAGGGTTTCACCAAGAACATTGGCGGCGGGGGGTGGGGTGGGGGGGAGATCGTCGAAAGCTCCCCAGGATTTTGAGGTTGGGCTGCTCCTGCGGGGAACAGGGACGGATCTGTGAGACGTGACTTTTTTTCCCCCTCTGTGAACCAGCGGCTGTGCCCCGGCGCTCTGTGTCTGCCCGTGCGTCACTAACGCTGCTCCTGGTAGGCACTGCGATGTGCCAGGTGCAGATGTCTGATTTCCTTATCTGCCATTACCCAGATCCCCGCAGAGCTTCGTAAAGAAAAAAACAAAACAAAACAAAACCCCAGTATGGCTTTTGCTGCCTCCCGGGTGGGTTTGAGCACAAAGCTGCCCATGACAGCCGATTTCACTGCTGATGGCCGGGGCTGCGGCAGGGTACCGTCCCAAACCCGCAGGGATGCTACCAGATCAGCCCCAAAAAACGGAAGATCTTGGCAGGGGGAAAACTTCCCGATCCTCTTCCTACAATGATTGCAGGTGTCAAGAAAAATTAATTTCTCCGCTATGCAGCCTCTTCTCTTCCCCCACCATTTATTATCCCCGTGGTTGCTCTGACATGCATCCTGCTCCTGATGAACACATCAGTTTGTCATTTTTCCTGGTTTTAGCTACACAGAATCTCTTCCCCCCCTCGACTTGCTTTGTTGTGTTAAGTTTATCTTGCCAGAGTTTTGTCTTATTTGCTGCTTCCCCTGTCTGGGGGGTGACTCAAACTCCTTGAAGGATGTCTTCTCTACTCCTAGGGGCTTGTTTTTAATATCCTGTTTAATCATGCACATGCCTCTGCCTCTCTCTGACAGGTGCAATGCATTCCTTCTGAGCCTCTGACGGGATGACTTTGTGCCGCCAGCAAACACTTCGGTGTTTTGATTGCCTGGCTTTTTAATGATCGCCCTGATTTTTTTTTTTTTTAAGGGCGACGAGCTGAAATGGAAGCCTGGGTGTCACGTACAAGGGCGAGCCTGGCCGGCGGAGAGCCAGCCCACTGCAGAGGCAGGGCTTGTCAAACCTCAGTGCTGGGCACCCTCCTCCCCATGCTCCTTCTTGGGGTCGCGGCGGGGGTGTTTAAGCTGCACTTAAGCTGCTGAGGATTTTGGCTGGGTTTCCTTCTGGCTGCCTTCCTCTCTTCTTGGTGCCGGGGGGAGGCGGAGACCTGCGAAGGGCCCAGACAAGGTGTCCCTCAAATAGCCACCTTAGAGGATGCTCTGCTAGAGAGAAAAACGTCCCTCTCTGGGTATTTTTCGCCTCTGCCCTGCAGCAGGGTGGTCTCAGCATCGCCCTGCGATTGCCTCCTCCTCCAGCAGCCGGGGAGCCGCTGGAGGGGAACCTGCCCAGCGCGGGACATCCCACCCGTGCTCAGGCTCGGCCACCTCCAGGGCAACTGTGCCTCCGTGGCGTCAGCCACCGGCAACCTGCCGTCAAGGCAGCTGTGCCTGATCGATAAGTAATTTGTGCGAGGGGGCTGGTGTTGCAGGGGAGCAATAATGAACTCTCTGGAGGAGGGAGAAAACAATATTGTTAATGCTGAAATCATCCCGCACGGAAATAACCGTCGGCGGGAGGCTTGGTCCCCGGGGCACGTCTTGGCTAATCCTCCCCCTCCATCGCTCGCCGGGTGGCACACACCGGGCCACAGCGCTTTGTTGGTGTGCGGGGACCTGCGGCTGGGCTGGTGCGGGGCAGACGGCTGCGTCGGGGGGCACCTTGCAGGCAAAATGTCCCCTTCCCACCTCGGGGAATTATTTTTTTTTTTCACCTTAGGAGGTTAACTTGTGCCAGCAGAAATGTGTGCGTTGTTTCCAAACTGACTGCTCCCTTTAGCTCTATCTTTTTTTTTTTTTTTCAAATTTAATTGATTTTTTTTTTTTTTTTAATCAAGATTGGAGAGCCTCTCCTTAGTGCTTCTCACTTAACTCTATGCTGCAACCGCTGTGTCTCTGGTTGCATTAGCTAAACCCCTCTGAGCTTTTGAAACCTCCTTGGAAAATACATCCAGGGGCTCTGGTGCTGCAAGGACCCCGCTCCTGGCGTGGTGGGGACTCAACCCTGTCCATGCTGGGGCACCGAGGTCCAAGACCCTGGCTTAGAGGAGGGGGGACAGGGTAGCACCAGGGGACCCAGCGTGATGTGACGTGGCTCTGGCTCTTTCTACGGGCTCCCTCCGTGGCGGGGAGGTGGGGAAGCTGGGAGCCCAGCCTCTCCCCACCACCGGCTGCAACATCTGTCTCTCTTGCAGGTCCGTCGGAGGGACTGGGGTACGGTCGCCCCTCGCCTAGGGCTGCCCCAAGGCCCGGCCCCAGCAGCCTCAAGAGCACCAAGACGCTGATGGCTGAGCCTGGGCCCTTCCTCGGGGAGAGGATTGACCCTGCCTTGCCCCTGGAGAGCCAGTGGTGAGTCCTGTCCGCCCCGAGTGGTTGCCCGACCCCTCTGCCTGCCCTGGCATCCCTATGGCCATGCCACGAGGAGCCCTGGGGCAGTGCTGCTTCTTCCTTTCTTCCCTGGCCCCGCATTTCTGCCTGCTTGTCCCTGCCACCCATCTCGCAGTCGTGCTGTCCCCCAGCCCTGGCGGTGCCACCCGCATCCCTCCTTCCGACCGTGGCCGCCATCCCCCGGCGGTGCTGGCATTGCTGCTGCCCTGGGGGTGAATCCCTGCCCCAGGGTGTCTGCGCTCTGCCTGGCACAGCCGGTCCCTCTCCTGCCTCCAGCTGGTACCACGGGGCCATCAGCCGGACGGATGCCGAGACCCTGCTGAGGCTGTGCAAGGAGGCCAGCTACCTGGTGCGCAACAGCGAGACCAGCAAGAACGACTTCTCCCTCTCCTTGAAGTGAGTGAGACCGCACAGGGCTTGTGGGAGGGGTGGCTGCACCTGCAGTGGTGCCGTGGGTGACCCCTCGCCAGTGGGTGCCCCAATGAGGACGTGTGCCCGCGGTGGTGGGGTAACTCTGCGATGGCCACGGGGGAAAGGTCAGAAGTGGCTGGAATATGAAGTCAGCACTTCCCTGTGGTGTGGCACAGGCTTCTGGTTTGGGGGGTCTGGCAAAAGTATCACTCCAGAGGGCTTGTGGATCTGGAGGCACGCTGGTCTTCCCTTGGCACCGCGAGTGATCCCTCGGACGGATAAAATGATGTGCTCACTTGAATGTATCTGGTTAGAGCTCGTTACCCCCGTTTTTTTTTTTTTTTGTTGGTAGCTTAGTTTCATGGGAAAATCAAGTTAGTGTGATCCCATTGTTGGTGGAAACGCGGGTGCCCATCCCTGCCTCCCCAGCCCACGGAACCGTAGAAGCCCTTGCTCAGCCGTGCTCTAGAGAGGGATGCTTTGGTTTTGCAGCAGGGAAACCTCAGCCTCATGGCACGGCTTGGTTTCCGCTCAGGTTTTTGGGGTGGGGGGGATCTTTGCATCCTCCCCAAGTTCTCCAGATTGCCTTAGTGCCAAACTGCCCGAAGCATCACCATGCGTGTCCTGCCAGGGAGAAGCTGCCCATAGCTCCTCATCCAGCTCTTTCAGGACTCCTGGCACAGCCTGAACCCACGAAATCAAAGCTGTTACTGCTCTGAAGGTGATGATGGATTAGCAAATACCTTCTTGCCCTCCTGCCGGACGAGTATGTCAGCTCTGATCCTGGCAAATGTGAGAAAAGTATTTATTGAGCACTTCAGTTGTCTCCATCCAGCAGCGTGCCATGTATCGCTATGCTTTTCTCAATATATTTTAAGTTTCCCCGGTGGTCTCTGTTACCTGCATTGCTCCCTGGTGGTTTCAGCCTCTCCCGTTTATTTCCCAGGGACACAATTGTGAATTAGATTTTGCTCCATCTCTCTCTGTATTTTTTTTTAATGCTTTTTTTCTGCCTTCAACACCAAGCCAGGACAGGTCTTTAGCTGAAAATATTTTTTCTGCCTTATTCTGCACTTGCAGCTTTTAGATCAGACAACAAACCTTTCCAGAAAACCTGCGGGGCGGGGGGTTGGGGAGGCTGGAAGCCCAGCCTCTCCCCACCACCGGCTGCAACATCTGTCTCTCTTGCAGGTCCGTCGGAGGGACTGGGGTACGGCCGCACCTCGCCCTGCCGGGAGGAGAAGACTAGGGCTGCCCTCAGGCACGGCCCCAGCAGCCTCAAGAGCACCAAGACGCTGATGGCTGAGCCTGGGCCCTTCCTCGGGGAGAGGATTGACCCTGCCTTGCCCCTGGAGAGCCAGTGGTGAGTCCTGTCCGCCCCGAGTGGTTGCCCGACCCCTCTGCCTGCCCTGGCATCCCTATGGCCATGCCACGAGGAGCCCTGGGGCAGTGCTGCTTCTTCCTTTCTTCCCTGGCCCCGCATTTCTGCCTGCTTGTCCCTGCCACCCATCTCGCAGTCGTGCTGTCCCCCAGCCCTGGCGGTGCCACCCGCATCCCTCCTTCCGACCGTGGCCGCCATCCCCCGGCGGTGCTGGCATTGCTGCTGCCCTGGGGGTGAATCCCTGCCCCAGGGTGTCTGCGCTCTGCCTGGCACAGCCGGTCCCTCTCCTGCCTCCAGCTGGTACCACGGGGCCATCAGCCGGACGGATGCCGAGACCCTGCTGAGGCTGTGCAAGGAGGCCAGCTACCTGGTGCGCAACAGCGAGACCAGCAAGAACGACTTCTCCCTCTCCTTGAAGTGAGTGAGACCGCACAGGGCTTGTGGGAGGGGTGGCTGCACCTGCAGTGGTGCCGTGGGTGACCCCTCGCCAGTGGGTGCCCCAATGAGGACGTGTGCCCGCGGTGGTGGGGTAACTCTGCGATGGCCACGGGGGAAAGGTCAGAAGTGGCTGGAATATGAAGTCAGCACTTCCCTGTGGTGTGGCACAGGCTTCTGGTTTGGGGGGTCTGGCAAAAGTATCACTCCAGAGGGCTTGTGGATCTGGAGGCACGCTGGTCTTCCCTTGGCACCGCGAGTGATCCCTCGGACGGATAAAATGATGTGCTCACTTGAATGTATCTGGTTAGAGCTCGTTACCCCCGTTTTTTTTTTTTTTGTTGGTAGCTTAGTTTCATGGGAAAATCAAGTTAGTGTGATCCCATTGTTGGTGGAAACGCGGGTGCCCATCCCTGCCTCCCCAGCCCACGGAACCGTAGAAGCCCTTGCTCAGCCGTGCTCTAGAGAGGGATGCTTTGGTTTTGCAGCAGGGAAACCTCAGCCTCATGGCACGGCTTGGTTTCCGCTCAGGTTTTTGGGGTGGGGGGGATCTTTGCATCCTCCCCAAGTTCTCCAGATTGCCTTAGTGCCAAACTGCCCGAAGCATCACCATGCGTGTCCTGCCAGGGAGAAGCTGCCCATAGCTCCTCATCCAGCTCTTTCAGGACTCCTGGCACAGCCTGAACCCACGAAATCAAAGCTGTTACTGCTCTGAAGGTGATGATGGATTAGCAAATACCTTCTTGCCCTCCTGCCGGACGAGTATGTCAGCTCTGATCCTGGCAAATGTGAGAAAAGTATTTATTGAGCACTTCAGTTGTCTCCATCCAGCAGCGTGCCATGTATCGCTATGCTTTTCTCAATATATTTTAAGTTTCCCCGGTGGTCTCTGTTACCTGCATTGCTCCCTGGTGGTTTCAGCCTCTCCCGTTTATTTCCCAGGGACACAATTGTGAATTAGATTTTGCTCCATCTCTCTCTGTATTTTTTTTTAATGCTTTTTTTCTGCCTTCAACACCAAGCCAGGACAGGTCTTTAGCTGAAAATATTTTTTCTGCCTTATTCTGCACTTGCAGCTTTTAGATCAGACAACAAACCTTTCCAGAAAACCTTCTTCTGGAAGGTTTTTTTTTCTTTTTTTGGTCAGAATTTTTACTGACGTTTTCATTTTTCTCAATATTTTTCCCTTGCCCTGGCTTGCGAGCGATTTTGCCACCTCCCCAGAGGAGACTGCAGCCCGTCCAGGAGCTGCTCCGGGCACTGCCTGTCCACCGTGTGCCTCTCTTGCAGAGAGCCTGCAGCCTCGGGAACGTGATTTTTACTCCTTTGCCTTTTTCTGTAGAGCCTTTTCAAGGAAAATCCCCCGGGATGCTTTTTATATAGCTGTAAGCTGGCTGTCTGTGTCTCTTGCTATTTTTTTTTTTTAATTCAACTCTTTCTTTCTTTTCCTTGAAGAAGGAGGCGCAGCCGAGGAGATGGTCTGAAAGGGAGCTCTGGTGCTGACCTAAAGCCCTTTTGTGCTGCTTTAAAGGAAAATATGCACAAGAGAGAGCGGCAGGAGCGGCTGTACCCATAGCTGTGTCAGGTGGCCAGAAGGATTTAACCCTGCCGTGACAGTCCTGGCTGGTCCAGGCTAGGCAGCCTCACATCGCCCGCCGTGGGCAGAGTTGGAGTGTCATAGAATCGCAGAACGGTTTGGGTTGGAAGGGACCTCCAAAGGCCATCTAGCGCAACCCCCCTGCTGTGGATGGGGACATCTTCAACCAGACCAGGTTGCTCAGAGCCCCATCCAACCTGGCCTGGAATGTTCCCGGGGATGGCATTGCCTCAAACGCTCTCCCATCCCTGCTGCTGGCTGTGAGGCTGTTGGCTTTGTCCCATATCTCCGTCACATCCCTGAGCTTGCGACAAAAACCCGTGGAGAGATTTGGGCAAAACACAACCGGCATCATCTCTCCATGGACCTGTGTGGCAGTGCTCGGGCTCTGTACCGGCACTGATCCTTCACTGGGGTGCTGCGCAGCACCCGTGGGCGGCTCTGTGTGCATGTTAGCGGTGTGACTGTGTGTATGTGTGCGCGCGCAGGATAAACCCATGCACCTTCACGCGGTGCAGCCCCCGCGGCTCTTCCCTGCGCCCTGCCGCTGGGACATGGCTATCGCTTTTCCTTGGCTGCTGGCTGACGGGCTGTGGCTCTCCCCCCTCCCTACCCTCCCCTGGGGGAAGCCGGCTCCTTGCCTCTTCACCCTAAATGGATTGCA